AGTGGTTATCAAACCACTTGATTTAAAATCTTCAAACCTCTGTAGAAAACTAAACTTTATGCTCAAACTGAAACGCTAGGTTTATAAAAAATTTTTAAAAAAGCTGAAGAAGTAAATCAAACGGTGGATTTTTCTTTGAGATCAAATGACGGAGGGGAGAATGAATGATAAAAAAAACCCTAAGCCGAAGGCTAGCACAGAGCAGGCACACAGGCCCCCCGCCTCCACACCCCTTCTCCCGTCATTGTTTTTGGTAATATGACCTATTTTGCCCAACTCTTCACCAACAGAAATGTGGGGCGGAGTTCAGAAGTAACCGTGCAGAAATTTGTTTGCGGCGTCTTCCTTCTCATTCACAAGTGTCGATTCTGCTTTTCTTTCACACCTGAAAAGCCGTCGGAGGCTAATATTTTTAACCATAAAAAAAAAAGGTAATTCGAGGTGGCATGTCATCACAATGATTAGTGAATGATAGTGGAAATATTTACCCTGATAAGATGCAGACTACAAAAAAATTAGCTGCGTCACTGATCTAATATAAAAAAGCCAGAACAGTTCAGTTTTCAAAGAGTGCTCAAAGTTTAGTCTGTAACTAAATCTTTTTACATTTTGTCATACCACAACCACAAACATTGTTGTGTTTATATGCCGTAGACCAGCACTGACTAGTGCATACTTGAGACGAATATGTTTTACAAATAAAGTGGGGGTTATCGGCCTCGGCTCTCCCACTGAGCCACTACTTAGTAGAACCGCATCTAAGTTACAGCTGCATGTCTGAATTTGCTTTGCACGTGTAGAGTTGGAAGCTGAGTCTCAGTCAGTCTGAAACCAGTGTAGCTCTGGTTATATGGTTGAACATCCATGCAAGTGTGAAGACTTTCCTCCAGGATTGCCTTGTATTTAGCTCCATCCATCCTCTCTAAGAAAATCGCATAATCCTGCCACCACCATCAGTATGGTGTGTTCAGGGTGCTAGTTCTAATCTACACATGGCATTTGGTATATGTAATGTTATTATGTCTCATCTGACCATTGCTTCTTCAAGATGTCTGGAAGAGGAATTTCTTATGATTTTCTTACGTAAATATTCCCTGTACTTTTGTTCTTTATATAGTACGGTAAATGATAGTTGTCACTGAACCTGAACGGATTAATAATATTGTGATGAATCGATTATTGAAATTATCAACTAATATAATAATCGATTAATTGTTATCTGGTCTACAGAGATTCAAAAACAACAGTAATTAATCCAAAGCTGTAATATATACAAATTGTGTGCTTTTTACATTTGAAATGAAAACACGTTTGTAACTAAGTTTTACTCAAAGCTAATGTTGTGGGATAGATTTAGCTTCACTGGTTGAAATTTACTAGAGGAATGCTGTATTATTGCAGTTGAGGTAATACATTTCTCATTTTCTTTCTTAAAAAGGAATTAATTATTTGGTTATCTGTATCATTAATGTAATGTCTAAAAAATATGGGAAAATCTGCATATTCTGGCAATTAAGCGTGATAATCAATAGAACAATCAATTACTAAATTAATCATTAATTGCAGTCCTAATTGTCACATTTGAGGACCCTGTTGGCTTGTCAGATAACTAAGGCATGTAAAGTTACATGTTGATTGTATGATTGTTGTTGTAACAAGAAAAAGGTGAAAATATTCCAGCTGGTTTGAATTGTTTTATGCCCACTTTCTTTGGATCTTGCTTTGATGGGTGTTTCGTCTGTTTCTGAAAATTCAGCTGGAGTGTTCAGATCCTGAGGAAGTGTTTCACTTTCAAGTGGAACTTTTGCTCAGACACCTCCATATGTCTGATACTTGACAAGTATCGGCAGACTTGTCAAGTCTCCTGATACATAAGAAGCATCATGCTTTTTAAATTAAGCTGCAAACGAGGGTGAAATTGCCACGTTTCTGGCTTCAACAACATTCTGTTTCAATGCGCACGATTTCTATTAACAAGATTTTTCCATTTTAGTTTCTTGTTCTGTGTTTCGAGGCTGATTCCGAAGAGGCTGAAGTCAAAAACACCTTGCAGCAGGAGTCTGATCACGCTGCTGGAAATGAAGCTGCTGTGAAGAGCGAATGCAAAAAAAAAAAAAAAAAAAAAAAAACTCCCCAGAAAACAGCCAAGCCATTTGTGTTTGGTGCAGTGCCATTCTGCTGTGTGCTGTTCTGAAATTCTGTCTGTGCGAGTCTCTATTCCGAATAACATGAACTCATCAACGGTGAGCCAGTCTCTCTGCAGCAGGTTCTGCCAGCAGGCTCATTATCTGCTCAGGATGCTCCCAGTTTGTTTTGTTTACCTTTGTTCTCTTAAAGCTTACGCCGAAAAACAATGGCGTCACTACACCAAAATCAGAGGTCAGACTCAGTCAGAGCCAGACAAAAGAAAGCCGAGGCAGACCACCATGCAAAGGACAGATAGGTGCAAGTAAGTGTTTGGCTCTGTTTGCACGGCTGCTCCTCTGATCTAAATTTCATGAGGCTATTAAAAACCGAGAAGGATGGGGGAAATCGTGCTTTCCTCCTACACCTCCAACCTCTCCCTTCCCCATTGTCAAACAACGAAGAAGAGAGGGTTGGGGAGAGCGAGCGAGGGTGGCGGCCATGCTTCTCTCCCCACAGCACAAAGGCTTTATCGGGGGTAAAATGAATTGCTGATATGTGCAATGAGTTGAGGTTTCCAACTCTACGCTGCATTCGAAAAGCAGTGGCCGTATTAAACAGCACAGCTAACAGTAAATCCTCTGGATCCTCCCTGAAAGGGTCATGTTGATGTTGATTGTGTTGGTGGGTTCTGGATTGCATAGGCTCAGACTTAAAGTGGGGTGGCGGATGAAGCTCTGTGTGTGTGTGTGTGTGTGTGTGTGTGTGTGTGTGTGTGTGTGTGTGTGTGTGTGTGTGTGTGTGTGTGTGTGTGTGTGTGTGTGTGTGTGTGTGTGTGTGTGTGTGTGTGTGTCTGTGTGTCTGTGTGTGTGTGTGTGTGTGTGTGTGTGTGTGTGTGTGTGTGTGTGTGTGTGTGTGTGTGGGGTGCTCTCTTTCGGTTGTCATAGCAACCAAGTCATTTCTGTCCCCCAGCTACACATCCGATCACTGTAATTCATGCGTACATATCTCTTATTTATTTATTTTTTTTGCTCGCAGAAAGAACCCGTAGACCGCAGCAGCGATCTGGCGCCTGTTTCTGTGGAACAGTTCAGATAAACACAAACAGGGCAGTAGCAGAGCCGTCGGTCGTAAAAAAAAAAAGCTCAGCGTTTTTCTTCACGCTGCGCAGACTTTTTGGTTTATTCTGTCGTATAATCTCTACCTGAGCGTTGGCCAACAGTTTTTTTGAACACAAGAGAGCAGATGTAAACGTAGACTTGTGATCTACATGCCTAAACGGCACCAGTGCACGCACACATAGGCATGTGTGTGTCTTAATCTTCTCTACTTGACATAGTGGCGCAGTTTCCCCATTTTGTGTTTATAACCGCTTTACGTTCAGTTGAGAGGCTATAATCAAATTTTTTGCTTTTAAATTATGAAGCATATGAAAATGACCCATTTCATGCCTAAAGTGACATTATCAATTTGTGTATGTATTTATTCTTGGAATTTCCCTCTTGTGTGTTTGGGGCCCTTTGTTTTGAGGCTGATTGTGAGGAGAGTAAAAGTAAAAACACGTTGCAGCGGGAGCCTGATCTCGCTGCTGGAAATGAAGTCACTGTGGATAGCGCATGGGGGAAAAATAAATAAAATTTAAAAAATCAGCCGAGGGTTAAATATCCAATGCTGAGTTCTAGATAAGCCCAAACATCTGGAATGTGTTGTAAAGATAATAATTGCAGAATGTAAACTCTTACTGTTTAGCCAACCTGTTTATTTTTATGCCTTGAAAACAAGTTCCTTTTTTTTGCATATAAAAAATACATAAACTAAAATAAAACTGCAACAGGACAGTACAACATAATATTAAATACCCACAGTTGCAATACACATAAACCTGGTACTAAAACCAGCACAGTTTGCCTAAGCCAAGGGTCCTTTAAGATTGATGTGTTTTTCTAATCTTTGATTTGCAGTTTGATATTTTTACCAAGTTAAGAAAATTCAACAACATAAGTCTCTAATTGTATTGTAAATATAAATAAAAACATCAATAGTGCTACACAATGTAACAGATTCCAGTTATCACTATCAGTTTACACTGTTTTAGAAAAAATTTTGAGGAAAGTTTGGTCTGTTGTGTTACCAGAAGAAATTTTTTCCACCTCCACTATTTTTGGTAATGGCTTTCCCGCTTGTCATTACCTTTATTCTAAATATGTATTTATGTTTATAATGCTTGAGGTTTTCTTTCATTTTACCAAAACAAACATTTTAAGCTTATGTTCTCTCTTCGATGCATTCCACGTTTTCTTGCAGGATTCCCCTGACAGCAATGATTACAGGGTGGTCCCCCCAAAAAACTGAAAATGATTAGGTTTACATTCACTTGCATAAGCTCCAGAAATAATCATTTTGAATTTTTTTTTACTGCACTGCAATTACAAAATTTCTAGATTCACCTTTGAACAAAATTCTCCTGAAGATGTGGAGCAGATTGTTCTCCTCTGCTGTTTACACTGTCACTATCATCAACAGCCTCTTTCTCTGGCTTTGCTTTTATGTACGCTGCCAGGTGCTTTTAATGTTTGGTTTCATAAATAGCCTTGTGATTAGTCTGAGGGTAATTGTCAGCACATGAGGGTTAATTTGTTATAGCAAAGGGTTTATTGGGATTTGAACCCATTAGATTAAGGATGTTTGACACATGTAAAAGAAAGGTTATTCATATATTTTCAGCATAAATATTACAGGGACACCATTCTTTTTTTTTTCTTTTTTTTCTTCTTAGCTCAAATAGAAGCAGTGCTTATTTAGTAAAAACACCATTTACATTGTTGTATCATATTGGTGTCTTTTCATAAATGACTATGGCTTTTTCTTTTGTTTAGATGGAAGATGGTCTGACACTTTTTGACTACAACGTGGGTCTCAATGACATCGTCCAGCTGCTGATTCGGTCTCAGACCGACCCCCCGGACAGTCCCGCCACCAAGGACGCCTCAGGTGTTGCCAGTAGCTCAGCTCCTCTGCCTGACTCGAAGCCTGAAAACCTCCGGGCTACGGTCTCCTCCACAGATATGGAGACCTCATCCGACACGGACAATAAGAACGAAAGCGACCGTGCCACTGTAAATGAAACCAAGCCAGAAACCATCGCTGCTAGTACCAAAAATGGGTTCAGGTCCTCCAGTCCAGCACAGGACACTCAGCCACCCACATCCAGCCGGAGCACGTTAGTCAACCCAGGGATTGGCTTGTATAAGGTGAGTTCGCTCATGAAAATAATAAAAGTGAACAGTTTTGGAATCTTGAATTTATTCTGTTAGAATCTAAGAATAATGCAGCAATTTCAAAAAGTTACAAATAAACGGTACATTTTTGAAGTTCCTGTTTTTGGTTTCTTGGCGCTAAATTATTTACGTATAGTGGCAGAATATTCCTTTATGGGCCTCCATTGTATTCTACTAAAATACATTTGCTGATGGAGTCTTTCATTGCCTTACATTGGTTGCATCTTAGTGTTAAAGTTGGACTGAAGGCAGTGACGTTGACATTCTCATCCAGCCTAGTAAAGAGACTGTAGGCTCATCCATGTGCTGAATCTGAAGACCAATTGGAAACAGCATCATCCATAGATGCCAATTTCTCACACTTCAAAAAAAGGAGAACTTAATGGATAGTGTGGATTATAAGACAGCTTATAAAATTTGTGCAAGACTGAATAATAAAAAGGAAAATCTTAAATCAAAACGTATTTTGTTGTATCGTTGGATATCTGAAACCAGTTGACTGTAATATACATGGCAAATGCAAACCCAAGATTCCTAGTTATCATAATGTTGGGGATTAAAGTCAAAACTGTTAGCGAAGAAGATGGAACTTTAAAGAGTAATACTACCCTTTAAAATGTTCAGCTGTAAATGGTAAATGGTTGTATCTGCCAATATGAATTTAAACAATATTTTAGCTATGATTTTGAACTTTTCGTCTGTCGTAGAAGAGGCTGGATTTGTAAGTCTCCGGCAGCCTTTCTCTCTCTTTTAATTTCCAACTTAAAGTTTGGTGAAACATTCTCTTGGGAACATACAGAGAGACTGTTGTTTTCAATTTCTAATGCCAATGTGTAAGACGTGTGAGGCTGTTTAAAATGTCAGTTTGTCTTTGCGTCAAACAAAAGTGAAATCTTGTTATAGAACAACTACTACTCTGTCACAGTGTGACTTTGCCTCTACTTCTAATATTTCTGAGGAAATTTGAGGTGTTAAAAATAAGAAAAATGGAAGCACAGTGTTGTGACTGATTTTTATATTTGTCTCAAAAATATGGTTTTCATCGTACACTGTTAACCGTTTTTATTGAGTGCCCAAGTTGGTTAATATTTGTAAAATTTAATAGGGCATGTATTGGATATCAGTCAAGACCAGTCATTTTTGCGTATTTTTTTCTCTTTCAGATTAACGAGCTGGTGGACTGTAGGGATGTAAGCATCGGCGCCTGGTTTGAGGCCTGCATTGAAAATGTGACACTTTCACCCAAAGGACAGATAACACCCACTAAGGGAAAGGTGGGTCGGCCCCCAAAAAGGACAAACGGGAAGCTGGAGGCTGAGCAGGCACAGGCCCATGGACAAGGTCAAACCACGGACAATAACAGGAATAACCCTGTGTTAAACTCTGAAAGTAACGGAGCCTCCACCTCTCAGAAAGACTCTGCCACAGAAACCAAGGAGAAAGAAGAGGACATAGCTTACCACATTAAATATGAAGAGTAAGTAATCGCTTAATATGCTGCCCTTCTGTTCTGTAGAAGTAACATACTCTCTTTTGTGACATTTTTGTGCATTACTGGACAACTGCTGGTTGGCTAATTTCTTGCAAATATGCATTTTGGATGAAACATTGAATTTGTAATGTTAGAAACCTTTTGTTCTTATCTCTAATTTTACAGAGTCAGCAGTATCAAGTACTTTTACTGTTGTTTGATGTCGTATTGTCGCTTGTACATTGTCAGCTGCTGTGTTAAAAGGCTTGCTGCATTAATTAGAGTAATGAATTGCAGTCCTTTAGTTAACACGCCATCACTGTCTATTTTTTGCATGAAATAATTCCAGACACATTGTTCCTATTTACAGCCAGGGAAAAGTTTTGGATGCTTTCCTTAACCAACTGACCAGCAGTGCACAGTCAACGTGTTTTTAGATTTGTCCAGGTAACTTTAATGGTGTCGCATGATGGTAATGGGTGTTTGTTCAATGTATCCCAGGATAATTTGCGTTCAGATTTCAAAACTGAAAGCAGTTTAGGATATCTAAGTGCATCTTTAGTGTGTTGATTCCTATGTCTAACATTTTTCAAGTACAATGTCAGGGGTGACCTTGGGCATTGACTATGTTGTCCTTAAAAAAATTGGAGTTAATTTGGTTGGATTATTGGGGTAATTTTCCATTTGAAAGTAAATTTTTTTTGTAAATTTTTTGTTGATGTCTTGATATGAGACAGTACATGTTTCCAAATTGTAGGAGTTTTGTTCCTGAATGCAGTTTCTTAGTGTAATCTGGTGTTTTTTACTTTTTATTTTATTTCTTTACTAATTTTGGCATAATGGCTTCTTCTCCTCTGAATGGCTGTTCATACCAGAACAGGACTTGCTCCCTTTTACAAGCTTCATATTCACATGACCTTTGGGTTTTGTTGTGGCTTCGACATGTGCATTTCTCTCTTGAAGTCTTTCAAGTGTCTGGAAATTGCACCCAAGACAACCCAAAATTATTTTCTTGTTATTCTAGAAATTAACAAATAGAAACAATTTTGGTAATCTTGGCTGATTAAAAACCGGAAAAGATGAATCAGATTTAAATCAACACGGTAAAAAAAAAAAGAAGTTACGTCTTTCTGTACAGTGCATGTAAGTATCTGGTTTCTACATTGTGTAAATTGCTTTGGTCTTTGTGGAAGATAGACAGCTCTATTGGAATTGCAAGTAGATGCTATTTTTCCTACCGGCCTGAAGGGTGGAGAACATGGTGTTGTTGATGCTGCAATAATTTGAACTCTCTCGCGTTCCCCTTTTCCAGCGACTTCATTCAGAAGTTTCCATGGAAACCCCTGGTTCTCAGGAGCATTACTTCTTCGCTCGCCTCCTTCAGCTTTGTCTGTAATTGCTGTGAACACGAGACCGGTGAGACGCTGCCTCCTCGCTCCCTCCGACTTTCTGGGGCGCGAATGCGTTTCTGCCAGAGGTTGTCATTCCGTAGTAATTATATCACGGGTTGTTTGCCCATCATTTGCGGTAGTTTCTTTGTTAATGTAGACTTAATTTTCCATAGAGTTTGTTGTTCTACTATTAGCATTTGGACAGAAGAGGTCCTTTGGAAACGAGCCTCAAATCCAAGCCATTTTGAATTCCGAGCTTTATTATTAGAATGCATTCATTTCTTTTATTTTAGCTGAATCGATGTAAGCGCTTGCTCAAAATTTTATATACTTTTTTGGTTAATAGGAACAAGTGTGTCAGAGAAAGCTAATAAAGAACAAAGGTCCAAAACCCAAACATCCCTAAATGCCACAGTTTCTCACTGCAGTTAGTCATGGGACAAATTTGAAGAAGCAATAAGTAAACGCTAATTATTTAAAAACTCTCAGCTTGTGGTTTATTAGCAGCTTTCTACACGTTTGCTTTCTCAGGGTGTATGCTTATCTTTTTTTAACAGGTTTTTTTTCCATCGCTTCGATCGCTCCAGAGGAAAAAGAATGGAGGGCGGGTGAAATCGAGCCACAAATTCATGTTGGGAGAATCTGTTTTCTGCTGTGTCTAAGAGCTGATGAGCCGTGTGTGTTGTGTGCACGCAGCCTTTAAATGTTTTAGCACGGAAGATTTTTTGTTGTCTGAACTAGATTCCTTGTGAAGAAAGTAATGGAAACCAATGTGAAAAATGATAATTTATTTTGGTTATGTTGTGCAATTCCCCTCAACCTTTTCCAAATATTTAAGATTTTGAAACCGCACCCCTCTGTATAGAAACTAGCACATAATTGTGAAATAAAAGAAAACGACAGATGTTTTTCAAAGTCTTTTTCTGAAGAAAAAATTAAAAACCCGGTGTGCTTTTATATTTTGCCCTCTCGATTAAATATTTATTGAAAACTATGTACTACAGTTACAACAACAGGTTTTTCTGGAGGTTGTTTGCCGCCTTTGCATGTCTGGAAACTAAAATTTTGTTCATTATTCTTTGTAAGATAGTTAAAACCCAGACTGGATAGAGAGCAGTGCAAGAGTATGCTTTGATCTTAACCGTCCTGTTGCATCATTTTGTTCTTACATCCCTGGGAGAGAGAACACATTTCTCTGTTTGTACTTATTTAGCTTCACGTTGTGCTCCCTGCAGGGCTGGTAGCAAACTGCAAACAGGATTTCTTCTTTTGGCTTTCTTTTAAATATTCTTTTTGCAGAGTTTCCATGAAGTCCAGATTTATTGAGTGCAGAAGTTATAGTCATCTGTCGGATGGATTCACCTGTCTGTGTTGTGCTGCTGCTCTTTGCCTCTTGAGCCTCTTGGCTGGATTTCATTTTATGAACTTACTCTGCTTTAAACTTTATCCTCAACCCTTCTGGGTTGAGGATAAAGTTCCTTGTTCTCTGTGTTTGTTCACCCTGTAAATGAATGGTGTTATCCAAACAAAACCTGCCTTGCCCAAATGTTCTTGAACAAATTTTTGAGGCCTTCAGAGGACAGCTGTATTTGTACCAAGACTGATTACACACATGCAGCGACTCTTAGCTACTCGGGTGGTTATTGGTCGCAGTGAATTTTATTCAGGGTTATCGGAGTAAAAGAGGCTTATTAAAAGCAAATTCATAATAAAGAATTCAGGATTTAAGTACCCTGCTGTGAATGACGCTAAAGCTCGGCAGTGCTGCTGCTTTTTGTGATAATTTGCCAACACAGCATTTAAATTTCCAAACACACTGACGAGAGTGAAAACTCACTGCCCTTTGGATAATATCAAATGCTTACTTATTTTGGGGGTTTTTTACTGGAAATGCACCACATTATATGTAATTGCATTGAGCAGCCATATGAGTGGATGTGCTGAGAGAGAATGAATTAGTTTGCTTACAGACGGAAGTCAGAAGTATAAAACACTGATTTTCTTCATTTTTTTTCTTTGTGTTTGTCTTGTCAAGAGATATACCAGATGTCCGTTTGGCACTGAAATGTCCACACATGGGAATGTTTTGAAATATTAAGCTGATTATAATGCTGAAAGTTAGCTCCCCCGTGATACAAAAACATGCATGCAGGATTTATATTTAAAGTTTTATTGTTTTGCCTGGGGCCAAACTTCTACTCAAGTGTTACATGCTTACAGTATAAGTGTGTGTTATATTGCAGTTGCAGAGCACCACCTGTGTGCAATATTTATTCATCAGCTACATTTTACGTTTCATCCACTGACCCCATATTTTGCAGGTCAGATGGACTTTCAATGCCCAAACCTGACATGGATTTTAATGACTGAGATCTTACGACTCATAGAAAGTTGGTCGCATTGTTGTGATTTAAGTAAAGAAAAGAAAGACAAGAATACAGAAAATGTTGCTTAAAGATAGCTGATATTGTCATTTCAACATTCAGGTACTTTTCAGCAAAAAATATCTGTGGGAAGGAAACCTGGATTAATGAGGCAGTTCAGGTGTGTAAAATGTGTCGGAGGGTATTTTTAATACCATCGCTTTCCTGTTGCAACAAGTCATCTTGGAGAGCAGTCAATCCTAAAGCTGTGCACTTCATCTGAGAGCCTGTAATCTGTTGAGGCTAAATGTGGTTTTAAGGTACGGCTCTGTTGAATGAAGACGCTTATATCACCTTAATGGGTTCTTGATTTCAATCAGCAAGGATCTACAATAACGAGACTGGTGAGTGTGTGGAGTAGAGTGAAAATTTATTGAAGAGTTTCACAGAGAAAGCAGGTTTTTGTTGCAGCGTTAGTACTTTATCAGTTTATTTTAACTAAGATTTTTCTTCCTGGCCCTCCTCTTGGATCCTTTTTGTAGGGTTTTTTTTTGTTGCAACATATTCAGCATAAGAACATATGGAGGCAAAAATGTTGCTCTGAGATTATGAATTGAACTTTTTTTTAGCATTATCTTGCATGAACATTCATTGCCTTTTGCTATGACTGTTTAAAATGTGTGTAATTTTTACATTCATCCAATATAATTAGCTAAACTTGTCTGCATTTTTCTGTTTAAAGACCAAAAATGGTTTATTGTGCATTTAGCCAAATGACAGTATTGTTGTGGCTGCAACACACCACTTGCATGGAATGCACTTGAGAGCAACAATCAGAGAGCAGCCCTCCACCCTTTGGCCCTGGACTGCACTCTAGTTCCTGTGAATATCTGCCAAGCTGTTTGGCAGGAGCTGCCTTAACCAAAATGTTCCAAAATGATAGTTTTCTTTTCCCCGTGTTATTCTCTGGCCTGAACAGAAGTGCTTTTCCATGGCTTTTGGAATTTATTAGAAAGCTTTTCGAATGTTTGTCTGAAGTCACCGTGTTAGATTACCTTGAACCGTGCGAGAAGCTCCCAGACACACGAGTCGGGACGATCGAGTTGTTGATTTCTTTGTGCAGCCAAACATTTGTGCCCATGTGGGTTTTCTATCCTGGAAATTTGTTGAAAATAGATCCTTCAGGGAACCAGTGTTTGCCCTCCAGATGGTATGCTGCCTTTCGTCAGAACCTCTTCAGGATCGGCACTCT